ATTATTGTTTAGCTGAAGTTTAGTTCAATCATTGGGAGATTTATTGAACTACCTAGCTCATTAATCTAAAAAGGTATGCTCTTAAGACATGGATTCATTTTGGAGTGGACTAGTCTTTTCTCCTCTCCCCTTTTCTTCTCATTTCTCTGTGCTAGGTGATTTCCTTGCTCTGCCCCTTGGGTTTTCGAGAATGGCTGTTGGTTTCCTGTGCTGGGAAGAATTCCCGTGCCTTTGTCCCTTTGGTTTCGCGGTTGGCTTCTCAGTTCCGTGCTGGGCTGCTCAGTTCTGCGGTTCCTTACTTGGTTCCGTGGATTTCTTTTCTCTGTTTTGCTGCACCGTTTGGAAATTGTATTGAGGTTGTTGGCCTTTCATTTCCCTTAATATTATTGGCTTATTGGGTGATGCTATGGCTGTTGTGTTCTCCTCTCTTGCCTATATATTGAAGATGTCTTTTGAGGGGAAAGGTTGTTGAAAATTGTTGAGCTTTGTCTCTTTAAAAACCTGAGGGTTTTCTCCTTGGAAAAGCTTGAGAGCTTTGTCCACTTCTTCTTCTCCTCTATTTCGTCTAGGCTTCTTACCTCTTTCTTCTCTACGCAAGTTTCACTCCATTTGTATCATTCTTCTTAAGCTGAGGTGATGTTTGTTGGCTGATTTGGGAGCATTTGCTGGAGGAGTTTGGATTGGACGTTTGGACTATCTTGCTGTGGTGGACCATCGGTTTGCTAGCCCTAAGCACATATTTTACTTAACCTACATTTCGATGCATGTGAGAAAACCGTTCGGTCGGTTGTTCTGAGGATAGCGACTTTTTTTTTCTTTTGTTTCTCTTGACTTCTCTTCTAGTTTTTGTTCGTCGGTTTTTTGCTAATAGATAATTGCTACTATTTGAATCGAGTTTGGTTATAGTTTTGCCTATTGTTCTCCTTGTTTGGCTTTTCTAATTTAGTGTGCTTGCATTATTCATGATATGTTTATATGTAAACATGCAAATGATAGATTGCTTCAAATGGTTATAAGATGAAAAATGTTATGTTTTATTTGTTACACTATACAGTACTATTCAGGGGTACTTTGGATTATTACAAGTAGTGACCCTACCATCAAATTATCAGGAAAGCAATAACCGCTTCTAATTAAGTGTAAAACTCGAAAAATGCCGTTTTAGACCTCGCACGCTTTTCAAAGCGCCAGGACGAGTTTTAAGTGAAAAATTCATGTTTGTCGGATTTCGATGGAAATAATTTTGAAAAATTCTACGCAAAATTATAAGAAATTTGATATATAAAACTTGTATTTAATTTTGCTTAATTTAGAAATTAAAATTCATATAAATTTCATAATACCAATAATACCCTTAGAGGTTATTATTGCTTGGAATGTTTAAGTGAGGGTAAAATAGTCAATTGCAAAATCCCTAAACCACCAAAGCTTTAAGGGACCGAATTCTATTCGGTCCCTTATTCGATCTGTGCGGCCGAAACCGAGAGGAGCGAGAAGGGAGAGGGCGGACGCACGCAAGGCGACGGGCGGCGTCTCCGGCGAGTTTTCCGGCGAAGAAAGCTAGGGAAATTGTAGAGGAGAATAAGAGGAAGATTAAGGTATGTTTTATTTAACCGGCGAGTTTTCCGGCGAGTTTTCCGGCGACTTTCTCTAATCTTATCTTCTACTTGAGCTACTCCAACCTTTTCACGTATATGCTCATTTCGTATCCTCTCTAAGGGTAAAGCCACTCATCCACCTAAGCATCCTCATCTCTGCCACACTTAACTTAGTATTATGCTTCTCTTTTAAAGGCCAACATTCGGCACCATAAAGCATTGCAGGCCTCACTACCAAGAGTAGTGATAAGCAAAGGTTGGAGAGAGTGAGTGAGGAGAATTTTTATAAATGATTAAGCAAATTAAATTCATATGTTTGTAATTATGAAAATGAGAGAGAGTGAGTGAGAGAAAGAGAGAACTAGAGTAGTTTAGAAAGAGAAGGAAAATTTTGTTTTAAGTTTAGTTTGTAGATTTTAAAATGAAAAATTGATACTTATAGGTGATTAATCGTGGTGACATCGAAGGAAGGACTGGCAAGAGAAATCAATTTCCAAACTTCTGTAAGTATGCACGATTCTTTATTTCAGTAATACTTTTGTTACTCTCAAGCTATGTTGCACCGATACACCTATTTATGAAGGCGTGTTGTATCCGATACACCGATACACGGATACGCCTCTGATACGCCACCGATACGTTTCGGATACATCAAAGCCGTATCCAATTAAAATATCATTTAATTTCAAAAGGACACGTGTCAGTTGAAAAACAAAAAAGAAATAAAACGCGCCGTACCCGTATCCTATATTTTTAAGAATTGACGTGTCCCGTATTCGTATCGTGTCGTATCCGTGTCGCCGTATCCGTATCGGTGCAACATAGCTCTCAAGTTATATGCAATCATTATCCTTTACTGTTGTCAAATTCTTTATTGTTGTCAAATGAATGATCATACAAATTACATGTACATTTTATGGTCTTATATGATAAAGTTTATGTTATATGGAATGAGATGATATGAATGTTATTTGAATGCTTGTATGTGCATACTGAATGATGGATCTCACCCCCTGATGGTACTAGCTGGGGACGCTGTACTCGTGCACGATAAAATGGTAAAGGATATAGAAAAGGAAATGGTAAAGGAGTACCTTTATGGTACTAGACGGTGGCTCCTGTGACGGTTGTATTATATACGAAACGAGAAAGCTAAGTATAATGATATGAATATGGAAATGAAATAAAAAATATGGCTTCATGTTATAATGTGTTTAATGTTATGTTTGTATGAAATCATCTTTATGTTATGTTCATGTAAAATTGGCATTTAACATATTGTTCAGTTGCCTTGTTTACTGTAGTTTAGAATTGTGTATTACTTACTGAGCTTTAGCTTAATGTTAGTTGTTAACATTTTCAAGTAAGCTTAAATTAATCAAATGAGTAGGAGAGGCGGTAATGTATACCGTAGGAGAGGAGCTCAAGAAGAAAGATAATTATGAATTTATTGAGTTTTACGTTTATGTGCTTTCAAAATTTGATGTTTAGAGGCTCTTTCAAATTATTATGGAGATAGATTTTAGGAATTAGATAATTTAACCTACCGTCCGACCTTTGTTCCCGCCTCTCCCATGCGAGCTCACCGGGCCGGGCCGTGACATTAAGGGTGCTTTTCTTATTAAAAAAAAGACTATTGAGGGGTTCTTCGATTAATAACAGCCTATGAGAATCCAAGTTCACTTGGTCAACAACTCACTTGAAAATATAATTTACTAAACTTCGCTTGTCAACCAAAATATTGCTCATTTTAAAAGCTATTGAACAATGTGCTAATAACAATGGTGTCATTAAATAGATTGTCATTCTTTCTAAAGGAAGTGGTTAACACGTCAATCATCGAGCAAGAGAAAAGAAAGGTCTCCCCCTCTTGTAGTTATCTTAAACCCGACTGTCATTAAGCTTCCATTCTTGCTCCACCAAGAATCATCAGATTTACTTATGCAATGTTAAGATCTGAAGCTGGAACCCACTCATTCTTACTCTTATTCATTGGGTTTTTATCAGGTTGTTCTACTACTTTTTCAAGGATAAATTCTTTCAACTTATCAAGTCAAATGTGTTACACAATAAGATTTTGTAAATGCTAACAATCTTTAGTATTGTCGTTGTGCACTTTGTGAAAAATGCAACTTAAGTAGATCTTGGGTACTCGACAATAAGCACATTATCATGATTATTGTAAATATAATTTATTGTTAACTATGTGTACTATTTCGATTAAGGAGGCTCAGAAAGAAGTATATGATGAAAAATTCAATTGATATGGAGTCCTCTCCTTAAAGGGATTGTAAGACTCCAACCCCTTTCAAATTTCACGGGAAGATCATCTTAATGAAACTGTGGTCGGCTTACTTACCATAGCAGCGATTTGTCTGGTATCAATTTTATTGAAGATGCTGACAATGTCCTGCGATTTTCTACACAAGTTTCTTAAGTTGAGACAGATCGATAATTTTTTTCGACATTGATGTGGTTATGGAAAGTTCAAGTAACTTAATCAATGATTTAGGCAATTTCATGCAAAAAGCATAGCGAAATGATACTTCTCAAAGAAGATGGATAAGCATTGTGCAACTATTTTATTTAAGCCCTGCACATCTAACATATCACTCTGAAAGGTTGTAATAGTGTAGGAGTATTTCAGATGGCCCATGACTCATATTCAATAGGGTTTGTAAATTTTTGGGTGACTTCTATAATTGTAAATGGGGTGATAAACTACCAATTAAAGTCATAATATGAAGTAACACTTCTAAGAGGATGTCTAGATAACCATCTTAAAGGTGACTGTTAAAAGGGGTAGCTTCTATTGCATTGCTTACTGCCAGAAGAGAGTGGATTTAATGTGAGCAATGTGGTCTAGCGTGCCCTTCTAAGAATGTAAGATATGTTTCTTGAACTTAAGCGGAAGTTTGTCCTCAATGATTTGGAGAGAAAAAGAATTGGTTGGCTAAGCACCATGCCTGACCCTTCTCTCTAGCCGAATTTCAACAGTACTTTGCAATGAAATGTAGAACGAATCAACTCCAAAGAATACAGAGATATTTAAGGTACATGGCAGCACACAGGCGATGTCGTGGTGACAGTTGATTCCTAAGCTAGAAGATGAACATGAGGAGTGGTATGTGGTAAGCAGCTGACAGCATTCTGGACCATCCTAATGATACGATCTTCCCTCTTCAAGAGTTGGTATAAAGTGACGTAATCATCATTTTTCTTGGCCTTGGAGTGATTAATCGTTATCATCAATGGCCATGAATCTTGTATCGTTTTGGTCAGGAGCTAGTGGTTAATAAGGCCCTTGGACCAGAATTAATGCATCCATATAATAAAACTACACTCAAAAGTGCCACAGTGGGACATAGATGACATGAATAAAACATATAAAGAAAGACTTACTCGATGATGGCCCTCCACGAGGAAGCATTACTTTCTCAAGCTGTTTTAATCTCTCTCTTCTTGTAGTATACTCATTTGGAAACTGTTCTTCCAAGACATGGTCAAGATCCAAACAAATTTTTGGAAATTCTCCAGGATGTATGCTTTGGCAAACGTGGCATTTAAGAGCTTCACTGCCTATTGTGGCCAAACAAGACTCACAAAACACTATATAAAACACAAGCATCAACATAATATTCTTCAATTCAGTTAAGCAAGCAACAAACATAACAGCATCCAAGTCAATTATGACCCTCACCATGACCACAATTAAGCACGGTTGGCCGGAATAGCAAGTCCTGGCACAGAGCGCAGAGAACATCCTCCTTAGAAATATCCAAAGAACCTTTTTTTTGTAAACCAACTTTTTCTGAAATATTAGTTCTAATGTATTCATGATTCACAAAGGAATCAACAACATTTCTTTTAGCAATTGAACCATTGCCATCTGAGTTGAAAATGACAAAACCCATAATAAAGATTTGTAATGATGGAAGATAATGCAAATCTGTGATCTGAATTTTACCAGATTGACCGCTCTCAGAGGCTAAAGAATTAAATTGGGGTGAGAAGATATCAAGGCGACTCTCTTCCACTGAAATAAAAGCATGACAAGAAGCCAGTGATTTATGAATCAGAAAGAAGAAACATTAGCAGAATGAAGCACTTCTATCAGTATCAAAAATCCAACAAGAACGGCTAGCCTTGCAATTAATGACAGTTTCATCTGCACCCTACAACAAACTAAGCAAGAAGAGCAATATCATGTATCTCAGAATTGCTTCAGTGACAGGATGGAAAAACATGTAACAGAGACTAGCAAAGGGTTGTTACAATGCCAGTGAATTAAGATATCATAGGCACCATTTTAAACACTTAAAAGCTATTTAAAAGGTGTGAATATGGTTGAAGAATGGTTAGTAGCTCCAGCAATCTCATTACTTTGTCAGATATCATCAATATATTACTTTAAATGTCATCATTATCAGCATTTTCCCACCTATTTGAGTTAGGTTCATTAGTCCTTCCACTAAACTCAAATAAAATAAAATAAAATATCTGTACGACATTAATTTTGCAAGAACTAACAACACAAAATCTTGATAGCTGATCGCCTGATCCACAATGTTTATGCCAAATAATAGAAGAAAAGGTGCTTCATGAATCATGAGTTCGATATATTGAGAAGTTAGTCTGAAAAAAAGAACCCAAGATGCTGTTTGAAACATCCTAGTGAATGACTGAATTAGATGTTCATTTAGACGTCCTACATATGAAGGATTGAAGTATTCTCTCTCAGTGGAACCATTCCTTTCCTTGAATTTACGTGGCAGAAAAACTAATTTGATTCAGTCAACATGGAAGACAAGTCAATTCTAATGTATATTTACACTCAATAGAAAAAGTAAAGTTGCTTATTGTTTTCCAACTCGAGTGGGATTAAGTTATGTGATAAATTCGTTACAAATTAATAATTATCATCCAATCAAAACATATATGAGATGCCAAAAGTTTGTTTTTTTTTTTTTTTTAATTCGGCAGTTGTTGTATTAGAATGTATTTTAACTTGAATTGTATTAGGTTTACCAGTTCAGAGAAAAATGTTTGAATTGTTTAGGGTTTTTTAAATGAAAGATTGCATTAGATAGTTGACAGCTAGTGTAAAATTTGTTGAAAAATCATAACATGAATCATTTAAGACATGATAATGTTAGGGCGTTTTCTGAAAGCGACATGATATATGGCCCGAATACAGCAAAAAATGTGCAAGGGTCGATGCAATAGCGCCCAAGTGCATTGTTAAATAAGCAAGCGTTCCCACGTCATGAATAGATGTGGGAAAGAAGCTAATCCATGAAACTAGAATTATGATAAGAATATAAGTCATCAAATAAACGAATTAATAGAATTAATAAATATTATAATTCATAAGAAGTTAAATATTCTATTTATTCAGAAAACTAAATGGGTTGTAGAAAAGACTAAGGAGATTAATAGTTTAGGTTTAAACTATGAGTTTTATGTACAAGTCATACTAGAAATGATGAAGGTGTAAGTATAAATAACAGTTTGAAGGATAATATTGTAAAAATTAATACAATTGGAGAGAATTATAGTTTTAAATATTGTTGTTGAAGATAAGATTATTATTATTATAAATGCTAATGCTGCTCAATTAAGTTTAGATGTATTAAAAAATTAAAATTTAGGAATAACTTATAAGAATTAATACAAAAAATCTCCTAAAGAAAAGTTTTTTATTAGAGGTGATTTAAATAGCATGTTGAAAGAGTGATAGAAAATTTTAAAAGCACAAGGTGGCTATGGATTTAGAGTGACTAATGAAGATGGTAAGACCATATTAAATTTTGCTCTACCTTATGATTTTGTAATTTCTGATATATTGTTTAAGAAAAATAAAAAGATGAGCATCTAATCGCTTATAAGAAAGGATAGAGTAAAACTAAAATTTATTATTTTTTATAAGAAAAAGAGATTGTTTAAATTGAAAAGATTGTAAAGACATTTTGAATAAAAGTTTATATACCTAGCAATCACTTATTAGTTTTGGACATTAAGATGAAATGGTGAAAAATCAAGTAATATATTATCTTAGGATTTGATAGTCATTTAAATAATACTAATAAAAATATTTTTTAGAGTAAGATTTAAGATTTTAAGATTTGGGTTGTTTCTGAGGAATCAAACGTTATGTGAAAAAAGCTATTAGTAATATTAAAAATTTTACATATTATGTGCTTTAAAAATCAAAAGAAAAAATTTATAATAGTAAAAATAGTTGGTGTTAGAAGCAAAATATGTAGGAAAAGATAATAAATAAGAAATTTTATTGTAAAAATTGATTTAGATGTAAATACGCGAAAAATTAAGAAAGATATAGAGGCCCGTAACGAGTCCAAAAATAGCAATATGTGATGCAAAAAAATTAGAATTTAGTGATTTATATAAAGATTAGATATTGAGAGAAGCGAAAAACGCATGTATAAGTTAACCAAATAAAGAGAGGAGAGGAATTAGTTCAAGTAAAGGGCACTGGGGATGAAGATAAAATGTTTTTCTTAGAAGAGGATATTCAATATAAATATATGAGAATTAAAAAAAAAATTCAATGAAGATTGCGAGAATACGATTGAGTTAACTGACCTTAACACCCTAAAAGATAATAAAACTTTTATTTTTTATTGTTATATTAGTAAAATTGAAATTGTAGATGCTTAAAAAAATGAATTGTAGAAAAGCAGCAAGACCTGATGATAATCCAATAAATGTGTGAAAATGTTTAAGAGATCAAGGAATTTCTTTGCTTACTAAATTTTTAATATTATTTTGAAAACTAAAAAGAAGTTGAATGAGTAGAGATGGAGTGTGTTAGCTCTTTTTTTTTTAAGTGATGGTTCCTACTTCTAAGAATAAAGGTGGTGACAAGGGTGTGAATTATAGATGAATTAAATTCATGTGTCATACATTAAAATTATGGGACCGATGCGATACTAATTTTTCTCCAAATAATTTTCATCCTAGCTGCCAGCCTGCATAAGAACTGCCACAACTTCTTCCACTAAAAAGGTTGTAACTTCTCACTCCATCTTCCTCAGCCCAAACAGGCCGTTACTAACCTCCAGCTAAATCCTCCTACTCCTCTCCCATGCTAATCACCTAAAACTCAAACCTCCGCCCACTTCCAAAAAGCCCACCTCAACTTTTAAAACCTGTGAACTCCTTTACCTACACTCTCACATCCACTCACCAAGCTCACTACCCATCCCTCCTCTCCACTAGCCTGATCTCCACGACACATAATTATTGTTTCCACTCCACAAAACAATAATTGAAGCCTTCTTCCTCAACTACCTGCACCAGGATCCATCTCTCGACCTCCAACTACAGCAGCTCCTAACCACTCCAAGAGCTGCAGCCACAGTTCCATTTTTCCTACAAATTCCTACACACAGCAACAACCATTTCCCCAACTCAAACCCAACAGCAGCCACTTGTCATTTCTTTCTCTCACGCTCTCCATATTACTATTATTAGTATTATTAATATTAAAAAAAGAAAAAACGGCCAAAAAAAAGATAGCCTATACAAAAAAAGGAATCTGTGTGCTTTCATTGCCCTCAACACCATCGTCGTCCCCAATCGTTGTTCTCACTAAGGTATAATGTCCACAAAACATAAAAATCCTCAAATCTTGTTTTCAACGCTCCCGGTGTGTCGGGGGGGCCACCTATGCACGTTTTTCTTAGCGTGATGGGAGGGAATCTAATGTAAAGCTTGCCGCGAGGCGGGTGAGTCTTGTGCATGTTCTTTTTAGTATGGTGGGGTAAAACCTAAGTACCCATGTACGAGTTTATGTTCATGCAGGGAAAAATTGTAAATTTTCACACATGTACCCCTAAAGACCCATGCATGCCTTTCTTGGCATGGTGGGATTGAAGACTAAGACCGCGATGTCACCTGACACTGACCACACACATTTTTTTGACATTGTGGACAAGCTAAGACTCCAAAATTCTCCTAAATGGGGGAAGCGCAAGGAGGCTGCCAAAATTTATACTAACGATGCACATGACTTAAACAAAATAATAGGGAACCGAACTTGCAATTACAGGGAACATAACCTTATATCCAAAACAAGACCTGCAATTTACAAAATAAAAATTAAGCATGCAAGCAATGAGTTTGCGGTGGATGAAGCTCCAAGCAAAAACCACTAATGGATGTTATAACATACACATAAACAGCACATGAACAATATGAAACTTGCCGTGTTCATGCCAGCCGGCTTGCAAGCTTGTGCAAAGAATTTGAAAGCATCAACAATGAGAGCTTCTGATGAATGTGTTTACTTATTGGAAAAACACTGGCTGAATGTGCCGACTAACTAAAATAATAACATAAGTAACAAACTTGTAATTTTACCGTCTCCTACAAGCGATGTTAGCTAGCTTGCAAACACACACACCAATTCGTTTACAAGAACCTATAGGAAACTTGTGAGTGTTTCTGGATGATAATGAAATGAATGCAAGTAAATGCGGTAATATGCTAGCTAACATGCACAAAGAAATTAGTGATGAATGCATTTCAACTATAGTCAACATTAACTTGCAGATAAATACACTAACCCGCCTGCATACAAATTGAAATGACAAACTCGTGGAGAATGCAGCTTGCCCACAAGTAAAGAGCATAAACTTGAAATGAACACACAGTAGTTTGCCTACGAATGATGATCAACAACATACAATTAATGCTACGATACCCTTACAGTCACTAACAATTCAGTGTTAGACAAATACATTAATCCCCTGCAAGCAAAGGTGGTCGATGTGCAACAAAAGCATGAGCCGTTGTAAAAGACCCGTCATGTACACAGCATCTATATATGAGTAGATAGATAAGAGTTGTAGTAAATGTAAACACTTACAGAAGACACTAAAAGATATGCATTTAACGAAACTTCACCGCAAACAAGTAAGGAGATTGCAGCAAGTGCGACACAGTGTCTGTAGACAAAAGAGACAAGCTTGTGATGAATGCGAGCATCTACAAGCTACTGTATGATGTTCT